CTTTAGATGACACTATCTGAAATAGGTTTTCCATTACTATGTTTTCTGCTAAAGGAGAAAGATGCAGTTAATCACCATTAATATGGAATTCCATATCAGGCAAAGTTGAAAATCTTTCTCTTCTATTCCTCAGCAGGAATTTCAAGGTGACATTTCTTTAACTTTTTTAAAAAATCAGAAGTTCTTAAGTTTAAGTTTTAAATTTTAAAAATGACACTAGTTTAAATCTTTTTGTTGTGAAATAAAAGAACTTATCAATAAAGAATAGTAAGGGTTTCTCCACATTGATTTTTCTTATACCACTACTATAGTTTATAATACCACATCCAAATGTATAGAGGAATGGTTGGATACATCTCTCATTTGAATAAAAATTAATGAGCATAGCCAGCTGAACTGGAAAATGCCAGTTTGGAGATAAGTATAAATCCCACATTTGGAAGTGAACAATCATGAATGGAGTACATTTCTAGTATTTTATTACTCCAAAAATGAAAATCTTTCTGTCCAGAACATTTTGCCACCCTTTTTAAAAATGTCTTTATTTCTAAGTTAATAAACATGTAGGTCTAACATGGGGGTAACTGCCAAATAAAACTTCAAAAATGTATAAAAATAAATTAAAATGAACAAACGTACAAGCTTGCCAAAGAGATGTGAATTAATGGTTTAGGGTCCTGTAGGGTATGCTTTTGAAACCCCTTGAGATGGACCCTGGGTCAGTATAACATGACATCAAAGGAGGGTGTGTATAGAATGAGTTTTAATGGATCCAACTTATAAAAATGTTCTGACAATATTCATCACCATTTCCTTTCTTTTTTAAACATACAGGGATTTAACCCCTCTTGAAAGGGAGATTTTTGTTTAGAATCTTTCTTATAGCAAATTTAACTTCTTGATTCCTAAGTGTGTAGATCAGGGGATTTAAAACTGGTGTGATGAGACTGTATAACACAGAAATGATCATGTCTTTCTCAGAAGAGCCACTGGCAGAAGCAAGCATGTAGTTGGATAGTACTGGAATATAGAAGATTGCCACAACACTCAGATGGGATGCACAGGTGGAGAAGGCTTTCCAACGGTTCCGCCATGATTGGACCTTAAAGAAGAGGAAGGAGATGATGTAAAAATAGGAGAGAAGTGTGAAAAAGAAGGGGCTGAGGGCAATAGTACCAGTTACAACTTTCAGCAGGAGGAAGTTGAGGGTTGTGCTACTGCAAGCTAATTTGAGGAGGGGCTTGATATCACAAAAAAAGTGTGGGACAAGATTAGGGCCACAGAACCATAACTGAGAGGTCACCACTGTGTGCATCAAAGCATGACAGAAGCCAGCAGCCCACGTCGCCCCAGCTAGTGTAACACAAGCCCATTTATTCATGATGACAGTATAACGCAGAGGATTGCAGATAGCTACATAACGATCATATGCCATGACGCCCAGCAGCACAGCCTCACTACTGCCCAGGAAGTGGAAGAAGTGCAGTTGAGTGAGGCAGCCGATAAAGGAGATAGACTGATGCTCTATAAGGAAGCCAGTTAGCACTGTTGGCATAGTCACTGTAGAGTAGCATATATCCAAACAAGAAAGGTTTCCCAGAAAAAAATACATGGGGCTGCGGAGACGAGGCTCAGCCAGGGTGACTGCCAGAATGGCCCCATTTCCTAACAGACAGGCTACATAGAACAGCAGGAAAAGTGTGAAGAGAACCTGTTGCAGCCTGTGGTCCTTGGTTAGACCCAGGAGAATGAATTCAGACACATCTGTCCAGTTCTTCATCTCTGCAAATAGGAAAAAAAAAGAGTGATTTGAGAAAACTTCACAGTGCTAGATATGACCAAATAATGTCATGTTTCAGACAGCATTCAGCATTCACTCATGAATCTTGTATTTAAATTCAGTCCACACAAAAAATTTAAGCTTTGATATATTACTGTTTGATTTGTCTTGTTTTGATTTGTTTTCACAGAATAGAGATTTATATAATTTTGGTGTCCCTATATTGGACCTTGACTTACGAAATTGGTGGCACAGTAAGGATGAGTGATCTGCTTGCTTTCTCCTTTCTGTCATTTTTCTTGTGAGTACAAGGGACAAAGCATGGAAGAGTTCATTTTATCCATATTTATTTCATCCTCAAAATTGAGATTGCGAAGTAAAAGGAAGTAGAGACAAAGGGAGAGTAAAGGAAAAGAGAGACTGACTTTGAAGATAACAAAGGAAAAAGAATGCAATGGTCTGACAAGAGGAAAATAATTGAATTTTATTGATAATGTAGAAATAAGTAACAAAAGATAGATTACAAGTTTTTCAACTAACATGAAGCCTACTTTCCCCTCTCCAAGTTCCACTATTCAGGCTACTGAGTCTGTGGCACTTCCTTTCATTTCCTTTTATTCATGTTACGAATAAAGTTTTCTTTATCTGAGATTTCTCCTTCTGGGCAACATGTAATATTCACCATAGCTGCTTGTATATAATGTATGCTTCAGAAAACATTTCTTTCCACTGAACAGTAGCACAGAAATAAACTGCAATTGTACTTACATGCTTCCATCTGAATCAAGATATCAGGCTGTGACCTGGTGCTGTCAGTCTTTCCAAAACACAATGTGTCTTCACAGGGTGTGCTGTTGTACAAAATATTAAGCTTGTCTAAAATGGGATTGGATTATTTACAGTTCAATGTTTTGCACTAGTAGCCATTGTCGGACCAATGTACATGAACCAGGATAGTTAATGGGATTTATCTGAGCCCTCATGTTGCATAAACCCAGTTGTTGCAAAGAATACTGTCCAAACCCAGGAAGCCAACGGCACTGTCATAATCTCAGAAGAGATGGTTTATCTGCAGTTAGCTTCCACTGCTCAATTTGAAGCCCTACTCTGAACCATTCTATTGACCATGATGGAAGCAGACGAATGCTGACACTCTCAGCATCCTACACATTACTGAACTTACCTGTAAACCTGTTTTATCAAGTATCCCATGAAACTAGCCAGAATCAGGTAGGCAAGCAACAAGCTGTCATTTGTTCTCCATTAGAAATTGATTCCATGTATCCCTTTTTACAAGCTATGTTCATACAATATACTAGAGGAGGCTGAAATGAATTCAGCAAAGTAATGTTAAACTTAATTCTCTCAAGTAATACAGAATCCTGGTTCCTATTTGATTTCAAGTAGAGTGCCTCTGTCTCAGAAGCTAGGACAAAATCATTCATAAAATTCTTCTGACATGCTCTTTGGGAACAATCAGCTGTTCAGATATATCATTCCAGAATCTATACAGTCTACAAATAAAGACATGGAGTAATAAGAATTATTTTTCTCACATTCTCATGGTTAGCATTCCATTTTCCCTCCCATTCTGGTATTCCCTCACTTATATTACCGTACGTAAAAAATAGATGCCTTTGCAATTCCATAATAGAAGGAATGTATAGGTCAGATAGAAATCCTTGAATAAAATGCCAATATTTAATATCTATTAGACATTGAGACAGTTCTTACCTTGTGGAAATTTTCTATCTAATAAAGTAAGAATGACCATTGAAGAGTTGCCTAAGAGCCAGAAGACCAACTAGGTGCATTTAGATAGGATATTGGAAATAAAACCTCATATCAGAATGTATCCTTAATGTTTTGTAAGTTGCATCCTGTGCTTGGGTTATAAAATATTGTTTGCTGCTATTGAGGGGAAAACGGGGAATTGATGAAGTAAAGTGCCCATGTGGGGATAAACCTGTCCAATCTGAAGCTGTAAATAATTTATTCATCTAATTAATAATGTAGAGGGATGTTTGGTTTGGTTTGGTTTGGTTTGGTTTGGTTTGGTTTGGTTTGGTTTGGTTTGGTTTGGTTTGGTTTGGTTTGGTAAAGGCTAAGGATATTTTTTTTTCAAAGCATTATAATAGTGTACAATCTCTTCTCCTTTGACAATCAATGCAGGAGAAACTGCAGTACTTTGTTTATTTATTTATTTTATTAAATTTGTCCCTGCCCATCTCCCCCAATGGGGGACTCTGCGTGGCTCACAACCAATTAAAAACAATAAATAAATATACAATTAAAAGCCTATATACTCAATTACAAAAAAATAAAGGAAAAAGTCCAGGAGGCCAATGGTTCAAGGCCACAACGGGAGAACTCTAAGGGGCTAGCCAACCCCACACTTGATGACTTCTCTCCTCGCCTGAGGCCAGATGGCAGAGCCAGGTCTTCAGATCCCTCCGAAAGGCCAAGAGTGAGGGGGCCAATCTCAAATCCAGGGCCAAGATATTCCAAAGGGCAAGGGCTACAGAACAGAAGGCCCACCTTCTGGGCCCCACTAATCGGAGCTCTTTTGCCATTGGGGTCCGGAGCATGCCCCCTCTGTCTGATCGGGTAGGACAGATTGAAGTCATGGGGAAGAGGCGGTGCCTCAGGTAACCTGGTCCCATGCCATGTAGGGCTTTAAAGGTGATAACCAACACCTTAAATTGGACCCAGAAGCAAACTGGAACCCAATGCAGCTCGCGGAGCAATGGTGTTATGTGGGTCCTTCTTCAGGCCCCAAAAATAGCTCATGCGGCTGTGTTCTGGACCAGCTGTAGCTTCCAGATACTCCTCAAGGGAAGCCCCATGTAGAGCACATTTCAGTAGTCTATCTGGGAGACAACAAGGACATGAGTGACTGTTTAAAGGGCATCCCAATCCAAGAAAGGGTGTAACTGGTGCACAACCTGAAGTTGTGCAAAGGCCCTCCTGGCCACAGCTGCCACCTGCTCTTCAAGCAGGAGCCATGAGTCCAGGATGACCCCCAGATCATGCACTGGGTCTGTCTGAGGCAGTGCTACCCCATCCAGCACCAACGGTGACAAAGTCCCGGATACAGAGGAGCCATTAACCCACGGCCACTCCATCTTACCAGGGTTCAGCTGAAGATTGTTGTTCCCCATCCAGACCCTTACAGCCTCCAGGCACCGCAAGAGGGTGGTCACGGCATCACTTACCACACCTAGGATGCAGATGTATAATTGAGTATCATCAGCATACTGATGATATCTCATCCCATGATGGTGGATGATCTCACCCAGTGGTTTCATATAGATGTGGAAAAGGAGCGGAGAGAGAACCGAACCCTGCAGCACCCCACAAAGGAGGGGCTGAGGATGGGACCTCTCATTCCCTATCACCACCGATTGGGATCAGCCCTGGAGAAAGGAGGCGAACCAGCACAAGACCGTGCTGCCCACCCCCAATTCCCTGAGCTGTCCCAACAGGATACCGTGGTCGACGGTATTGAAAGCCACTGAGAGATCGAGGAGAGCAAGGATGGTCACACTTCCACCATCCCGCTCCCACCAGAGGTCATCCATAAGTGCGACCAATGCCATTTCCATTCCATAGCTGGGCCTGAAACCTGACTGAAAAATGTCCAGATAATCCGTTTCCTCCAGAACCCTTTGGAGCTGTGATGCCACCACTTTCTCAACCACCTTCTCCAAAAAGGGGACATGGGAGACTGGACAGAAATTGTCATGTACAGAAGGATTCAGGAAGGGTTTCTTGAGGAGGGAGTGCACCAATGCCTCTTTAAAGGCAGCTGGAAACACTCCCTCCCACAAGGATGTATTAAGTATCGCCTGGATCCAACCGCATGTCATCTCCCAAGCTGGTTTCACCAGCCAGGAGGGGCATGGGTCCAGATGACAAGTGGTGGCCTTCACAGTCTGGAGGATCCTGTCCACTTCCTCAGGAACAACAGGATCAAACTGTTTCCAGATAACTGTGTAAGAACAATCCCCTGGTATCTCCCCAGACCCTGCGTCACACTCGGAGACTAACTTGGAATGAATCCGAGCGATTTTATCCTGCAGATGCTCTCAAAATTCCTCCACACAGCCCTGCAAATGAATCCCCAGATCCCCCCTACCAAGGAGGGATCTACTGATCCCAAACAGGGCTGCCGGGCGGCACTCTGCAGACACGATAAGGGCAGAGAAGTATCGGTACTTCAGTGCTCTTATTGCCACAATGTGGGCCTTGATAGTGGCTCTAACCTGTGTTCAGTCAGATTCAGTCTTTGTCTTTCTCCAGCAGAAATCGAGAATTGCTGAGATGGCTACATTGTTTGTAATACTGGAGATGCTCTTTTAGTCTTTCTTTAAAACTCTATTGATACCTTTTATTATGGAATGTTTTAATGTTTCCTTTTGCAGTTGTTTTTTATTCTACACTGCCCAGGGTCATGTTTATGAGATAGGTGGCTATATAAATGTGAAGAATAAAAGAAAGAAAGAAAGAAAGAAAGAAAGAAAGAAAGAAAGAAAGAAAGAAAGAAAGAAAGAAAGAAAGATTGAAAAATGCATTTATCTGTAGTTGCCTCTTTGT